CGCCCACTATTTATTACGGATACATACAGTCTCATATATACCCACTCATATACTTTCATACATAGGTACATACATAGACATACATGAACATACCCACACATGCACATAAAGAATGAGTTAGCATGGGGAATACACACTGTGGGATAAGGACCAAAAGCTGGACTGTAAAAGGCGTCTGGAAACATTTGGAAACAATAGTTTTCGAGACGAAGAATACCCGTAAGGGTTCCGGGGTCCGATTTTGGAGGGAAACCGACAGACCCATTGCCTTTTAGCAACCATGCTTGAAAAAGCAGCTAACTGAGGGGTGTTGCCTTTGAAGCCTGAGCTCATCTGCATGAGAGGCCTTGAACTAACAGTGTTTGTACAAAAATGCCAGATCTGTAAAATAGATGTACATTTCTGGCAATACCTCTTTTGACCTGACTTTCTTGTAGAATTGTTTTTGAAGTATCCGATTCACCGTCGTCTCATTAGTCATCTACTCGTCCGGTCTCATTGAGAGCAATAAACCGTTTTCTGTCGGACAAGATTTCCCCGGAAAATGGATCCCGATCATGCCTTTAGGCGCATCGGGCATATCTTGCATATGGGAAGAGCACACATATTACTATAGACCAATCGGCACTAGGTGGGTAATGTAGTCATCATTAGGCCGGCCGTCTTTTCTTCCACAGGACATACATCCTAGTAACCATACCATGATAGAAATCCACGCAGCCAGCTTTATGTCTCGATAGTGGTACGTTGGAATTACAAGTCAGTCTCTCAACGCCTAAACCACAGACGCTGCAAGATTTCCCCAGACTCCAACAATTGCCTTCGATCAGTTCGAATAGAGGGTAGACGAGGGTGGAATGCTCGATGGTGTAACAGGACAGCAATCATGAACCTCACGGGTGAAAGCATGGAGCATGTTGTTGACCAGTCTCTCCCACTTTATGCTAAAATCGTGTACCCAATAATGTGTCTATGAATTGTTGAACAACTTCAGATCTGGAAAATGCTGCCTTGTCATCTCCTAGTGGGATGCAATTTTTCGTTATTTTTAAGCCTCACCCTGGCTCTTGCCAAGGGCCGCATTATAGCCCGACCCTAAATATGGTCTAATGGCTGAACGCGGTTTCTGGGACCTCTCTACGGGTGATCCTCATCTACATCGTGGCACTTTGTGTCATCTGATGTTTATCGCTTGTGTAAAGTCCAGGTTTGGTAGAAAATCAGTTTAGCTCATACTGCCTTGATGACTTTCCGCTAAAGTAACTAACAGAATGTTTTAAATATAATTTAAAGTGATTTCAGTTCTACTCTAATGAGACTGACGCCTATCCCGTTTTTACTTTAATCTACCTGATCAAACGGTAGCCGGATTTGTCTCATCCTGGCGGTCAGTCTGTCAACCCTGGACAAGGCGTACTTGAACCCAAACAGATTCTGGAGAGCTCTGCAAATGGACGTGCTGTATTTGTAAAGCTAATCGTGTGCTTATCGTGTGAAAAAGCTTTTTATTAGTTGTATGAATAGATTTTTGTTTCATCATAGTTATCAATTTGACCTGAACATCCAGGTGAAATGGCTAATAAAAACGTCTTGTCCCATAGTTGGGGGTATTTTGGTTATCTAAAACGTAATGGTGGGCTGCAGAGGACTATGATAGAGGATACAGTTTCCAGAATTCAAGGCAGAGGTTGACCACTTCGAAGATGAATACAAGACTTTAAAGATCCATTGACTTTGAAAGCACGTAGGACTTTGAAATTAACTAAGAAACGAGAGATATTCTGAAGTGCCACGACAGGAGCGACTAAAGAACCTTCTGACTTAGCCGATGTGGTGACCTTTGTCCTCCCAGTTTGAAAGATTTTAATTAGTACGACTGACTTTATTGCCCTGGAGTTTATCCTCTGGGACTAGTTTCTTGCTCGTCAATAGCTAGCCGCCAGTCGAAAGCACAACTCATTAGAAATGTTTCTGAACTACTTGTGTCACTACCCACTGTTAAACTAACACTCACTGCTCCACTTGACAGCGTGTTTTCATGGCATGCAGGGGTGTCAACACACGAATACTACATGCAGTTGCAGATCGCAGATTGTGGAGAAGCATGATCACCCACACCAGTTGACAAGGCACTTGATGATGATGAAGATGAGTGTGTCCTTATGAATTTTTACTTATGTCTATTAGTACCATTTGCTGTCTGTTTGTCATATATAAAGAGTATGGTTCATTCATTCATTCATTCATTCAGTAGCATGTTCCTCGCGGAACCTCGTTGCCATAACAACCCTCCGGAAAACCTTCCTATCCTGAGCAAGATGTCCTGCGTCTGATACACCCATCTGGAGATCATCCGACACATCCTGCACCCATCTTCTCCTTGGCCTTCCTCTTCCTCTCTTCCCAGGCATATACCCCTCCATTATTGTTCTCTCTAGACTTCCATGACGTTTTCAAGTGACCAAATATTTCAATTTTCTTTTGTTTTATTGTCTTTACTAGCCAACCCTCTTCAATATTCAGCTCTTGAAGAATGGATGCATTTGTTCTTTTCTTTACCCAAGATATTCTTAGAACCTGTCTGTAACATTTATATTCAAATGCATTTATGCGCTGTTCCGCTTGTTTAGTAAGTGTCCAGGTCTCACAGGCGTATGTTGCAATGGGAAAGATGCATGCTCTTAAAAAATCTGACCTTTGTAATTCTATCTGTACAATTCCATAATTTATTCAGTGTTTTAGTCTTGAAGAGCAATTGATAGTCGCCGTTTAATTTTCTTTCATTGTGTCACCATTGTTGGTAACCAGTGACCCAAGATATTCGAAATTGTCCACCACTTCCAACCTTTCCTCATTAACATATATTTCCTTCTCCATGGCACTTGTTTTTTGCTATGTTAAGAAATAAGTTATGATTTTCACTATTTCTTTGGAGTGAGGTTAATAAGTTTTCTAAAACCATTTTGTGATGTTGAAGTAATACTGTATCATCAGCATAACGAATTTCTGGTATTTCATGACCACCGATGTTTAGGGCATCATATTGTTCCTTGTTTATATCATCTCTTACATTTCTCATTATATTTTCGCGTACAGGTTGAACAAATACGGTGACAGCACACATCCCTGACGGACTCCTTGCTTGATGCCAAACCAGTCTGATGTCTCTCTATCTATTCTGACTGCTGCTTGTTGGTCTTGATAGAGCATTTTAATGAGCTGCACTATATGTGATGGAAAGCCCATATTCCTCATGATTTTCCAAAGCTTCTGATGTTGTACACAGTCAAATGCTTTTGAATATCCACAAAAACATAAGAACAGATTTACATTAAATTCTCTACACTTCTCTATTATTAAACGCATGTTGAATATATGATCTCTTGTTCCTCTTCCCTGTCTAAATCCAGCCTGAGCTACATTAATCTCTTCTTCCATTTTCTTATGCAGTCTTCTCATTATAATTTTTAGTAGAATTTTACTTGCATGACTGATCAGGGCAATAGTTCGATAGTTTGTACATAATTTCAGGTCACCCTTTTTTTTTGGTATTGGAATGAAGATAGTTCTCTTCCAGTCTTTTGGCCAAATACCATATTTCCATATCTTTTCACATAATGCATGATAGATTTTTATGCTTTCTTCTCCTCCCGCTTTAATCAATTCAGCTGGTATCTCATCACATCCAGGTGATTTACCATTTTACAGGCTCCTTATTGCCCATGAAATTTCATCTAATGAAGGTTCAGGTTCTGCCTCTACTGTTACTGGTTCATGTATATCATTCATATCCTCACTGTCATTCATATCATACATTCCGCTGCAGTATTCCTGCCATCTTCCTAGAATTTGTCTAGATTCTGTTAAAGTATTTCCTAAACTGTCACAAATAACATTTAACTGAGGTTGAAAATTTCTTGTCAATAACTTCATTTCCTTGAACATTTCGTAATCTCTTTCATTTTTATGATGCTGCTCTATTTTAATACAGCAATCTTGTACATACTGATTTTTATCCTTTCTTGTGTACTTTCTTATTTCTCGTGTTAAAAATTTATACTTCAAAGAGTATGGTACATCTTATAATTGTAAATTCCTTAATTGCTCATTCTTTCGGTTTCCTTAGGTCGTTCATGACTGTTTCCATCTGTCATCCACCAAACAGCTGTCCTTTATAATGTTTACAATGAATTCTGCAGATATTTACGCCATATTTTTTCTGTTATGCTTGTTAACCTTTGCCAGCTGACTGACGACTGACTTTCTACCCCACCAGGACATCACACAAGCGATAAACACCCAATCACACAAAGTGCCACCATGTGGATGAGGATCGCCGTGGAGAGGTCCCAGAAACCGCGTTCAGACAATTGGCCATATTTATGGCCTGCATATATTGCGGCCCCTGGAAAAAGCCAGGGTGGGGCTTCAAAAAAATTTCGTTCTAAAAAGGACGAAACTGGATATTGATTCAATTTACATTTTGGGAGTTTTAAATACCTCTGCTAGCGATGGACATTTTGATTTCATCCTGTTCTTCATGTCTGAACTACGCTGGCCAAAATTTGCATACAATTCTCTTTGAACAGTTTTTATTTAAAAGTTCGTAAAATATTGTTACGGCAAAGAGATCATTTTTAAAAAAAAGGCACGAAGAATAAATATTACATTTATTGTACACAAAAGCAACAAATACAATGATTTGTCAATAGAAAAGAAAGCCCTACGAAATCGGACAATACAATCTGGGTATAGAATCAACATCAAGAATCAGGGCAAGTTAATATCAGCACCGACTTCCATATTAGCAGCCGGCGAGGAGACTCCATACTAATGGTACCCATTGTCATCAGTTAACTACATGATTTGAACCCCCCCCCCCCCCCCCCCCCCGCTGTAATGAGTGGCGCCCAAAGCACATAGACACTCCCCGTTGTAGAATTCTCTTCTAATAACATTTTGTAACTAAAAGTGTAACTGTTACCTCGTTCAGAGAGATCCCGCACAACAAGACTCTAAACAGAGCAACACCAGCTGACGTACTGGCCTGCTCATTCCTAAACACACCTACATTCCCGGGCCCAATACCCAACACTATACAAAGCGTATACCAAAACAGGGTAACGGGTGTAGCCCAAAGTGGACCAAGAACTAGGTGGGACAAGAGCATTCGAGAAGAGTTACAACAGAACAGCTCTAACCAGAATATGTTGTCTTCCTCAACCCAATGTGGGACGCAATTTTTCGGTAGGGTTCTTATACAACCTGACGGTTGAACGGGGTTTCTGGGACCTGTCCCCAGATGATGCTCACCCGAATGGTGGCACTTTGTGTTAACAAGTGTTTATTGCTCTGTGTGATGCCCTGGTAGGGTAAAACATCAACCAGTTAGCAAACAAAAAGTACAAGTATGAAAAGTGAAACATGAAACCTGCTGGAGAATCTCCGGACAACCGATGAGATGTTTCCGAAATATGTGGGGTTTTGGTTAATGACTCTCTCATCGTCTCCTAGGCTGATGTTGGCGGTTTCAAAAGCCGCCCTAATAGCCCCAGGGATGTCCAACTGTTGCAAAGAAAATGAAATTATAAGTTTAAATGCGTCACAACTACAGGTGCTGTTAACTCTATAAGAATTATTGTCTCAGCTGCCGGTCAAGGTAAGAGAACCCGTTCTTCGTTGCATTCTTCTTCTTCTTCTTCTTCCTCTTCTTCTTCTTCTTCTTCTTCTTCTTCTTCTTCTTCTTCTTCTTCTTCTTCTTCTTCTTCTTCTTCTTCTTCTTCTTTTTCTTCTTCTTCTTCTTTTTCTTCTTTCTTCTTCTTCTTCTTCTTCTTCTTCTTCTTCTTTCTTCTTCTTCTTCTTCTTCTTCTTCTTCTTCTTCTTCTTCTTCTTCTTCTTCTTCTTCTTCTTCTTCTTCTTCTTCTTCTTCTTCTTCTTCGTCTTCTTCTTCTTCTTTTTCGTCTTCTTTTTTTCATTTTCTTTCTTCTTCATCTTGTTCGTCTTCTTCTTCTTCTTCTTCTTCTTCTTCTTCTTCTTCTTCTTCTTCTTCTTCTTTTCTTCTTCTTCTTCTTTTTCTTTTTCTTCTTCTTCTTTTACTTCTTCTTCTTTGTCTTCTTCTTCGTCTTCGACTTTGTCTTCAAAAACACAAACTACAAAACTCACTAATACCGAAAACTTTGGCAGAGATCTAACCAGGATTCAATGAATGAAATCGCTGGCACTTGGTGGGACACTTGTTAAAGACAGCTGAGAACAACATTATAATTATTTGATTTGAGGACCCCTTAGTCGCACAAAGCAAGAACTGTATAGCTCCAGTGACGATCCTAATGGATCTCCGTCAAAATTGCGAAAGTGAGCTGAGCAACGCAGCCGTGAATCGAACCCACAATCTTTAAAGTTCCAGGTGAGAGTCTTGACCACTTTGCCACGCAGACTCCCTTACACCTCAGGTGATGCCTTTTATGCCTAGTTAGGGATTAAGTTTATCTCTAGTTACCTCGAACTGTCTTGCCACTGACTGGACCAATGCATACAGGCGAGAGATTGAGGTCGGCGATATTGGGTAACTAGTCCACAATTTAAACAAGTTCATCGCGCCAATCACTTTTTCATGACATATTATCTCCTATTTGCTGACGACTGTGCCTTGATCACTGGTTTTGAAACGGATCTGAGATATACCAAGGATAGATTCTCCGAGGCCAATACCAACTGCGGGCTCACTATAAAGACGAAGAAAACCGAAATCCTTTACCAACCAGCACCAGGCAAAGTGTATACTGGGCTACAATTTTTTTTAATGGCAAGAGATTACGATTGTGGGTCCTTGGTGGCACACTGTCTCAGAATGTTACCATCGACGACGAGATAAACACAAAGACTTCTAAAGCCAGCTACACCTTTGACAGACTAAAAAAAACAATGTCTAGCAACGAAGGGGCATTAGTCTGCAAGCCAAATTGATGGTATATATAGAGCTGCAGTGCTTACAGTGCTGCTATTTGCTTGTGAAACAAAAACTGTATACATACGTCATGTATAGAAGTTCAACCACTTCGACACAGTCGATCGGGGAAAGATTCTGAACACAAAGTGGCAGGACAGGGTCGTGGATACTGTCGTAGTGTAGAAAGCTGAAATTTTGCAGCATCTATACCATCCGGACGCAGTCACAGCTTCGATGGGCAAGTCACGTCGTTCACTTGCCAGACCATCAGCTCCCAAAAAAGAAAAACTCTTTAATCTTGAGATACAAGATCGTAGAAGCTCTCATGGTTGACACATGGAGGTAAAAGGGGGGGGGCGCTTCCATGACACACTAAAGGCATCACTTGTTGCCTGGAATATAAACTCAGGCAGTTGGGAGGCTTCTGCACTAGACCTCACTACATTGTGAACGTCTATCCGAAGAGCCGCAGCGACTTACGAGGTATCTACAAAATGGGTAACTGTAACAGAGAAGACAGGCTAGAAAGATCCGTCCCACATGTCCTTTATCTACAGACATTGTTGGGTACCCTCAACTGTCCTAGATCCTTTAAGGTCCCTAAAGTCATATCCAGACTCCCGGAGGATTAATTATAGTTTTACTCTATTCTATTCTAAGTTGTATCCCACCAGGAAATCACACAACGAGATAGACACCTGGTGTCACACAATACCACTATGTGATGAAGATCACCCGTGCAGAGGTCCCAGGAAAACCCTTGCAGCCGCTAGGCTACATTTAAATAGTTGGGGAAAAAACGTAAAGGACCCTTTTCCATGCCTTTAGGCGTATAGGGCATATAGGGTTAGACCTATATTTTATAGACCAATCGGTAGGTGATGTGGTCAGCATCACGCCGGCCGCCGCTACTTCCCGGGACTGCACCCGGTTCCGACCCAAGGCTGGGTCGACCTGAGAGCTAAGGTCATTTTTTTTTTAAAGTCTGGCTCCGCCAGGTAGCGAGTCCACGACCTTCCAATCCGCGGAGAGCGTCTAGCCGCTCCGCCACGGCGACTCCAGGGCCATATTTATGGCCTGGCTATATTTAGGGCCCCGGCAAAAGCCAGGGTGGGTCTTTAAATTAAAAAAAAAAAATGCATCCCACAAAGGGGCGACTAGATAGGCTACAATTATAGTTTTAATGACGGATGAAAGAAAAACTGGTCCTCATCAACAAACATCTGTAACACAGTTGGAAATTTGGACTAGCTGAAGCGGGAGTTACAAACTTGCGACCTACCTCCGGGAACATACCGGACAAGTTACCAAGTAGAACGGGTATATAGTGTTCGCTGGAGTTTTGAGTATCTCCTGCTGAAAAGGTAATCTGTGGACGGAAAGTGTTTCCTTCGTTAAACAGTTCAGAACTGGAGCCTCTGGTGATGGCATGTGAAGGAGAAAATCTCATTGGCTGCAGGGTACTCAGCGCTTACACCGTTTTTAGCGTATTCTGTGTACCAGTGCTATTATTATTATTATTATTATTATTATTATTATTATTATTATTGTTTTTATTATTATTATTATTATTATATTATTATTATTATTATTATTATTATTATTATTATTATTATTATTATTATTATCTGTGGTGATTGACTAGATACATAACAGAATATACCTGTATCCTTCATATCTCGTTTGCACAAATGATTAATCGTACTAATAGCCGAAGTCGACATCGTCTGCTTATCTGTATACATTATACAGGATGTCCCTAGGGACTCTACCATCCTCAATTCTTCATATGTGATCCTGCCACGGCAGCCTTTGGAGACTCAGCATTAAAAAAAGTGTTTGTGATAGCAAATGGCAATTTTAACGGTAGTTTAAGAGATAATCACAACAAACAAATATATCAGTCAAGTTTTTCTTATCATTATTTTCTGACAATGTGCTCTTCTTTTTCGCATTTGCTGACTGTAAACTGCAGCGAAAGGTAATTATTGTTCGTCCACTGCTAGATTTTAGTCTCCTTTTATAACCTGAGTTTTGTGTGCACATCCCTTTTACAGATCTTGCTTATTTGTATGCTGACTCGGTTCCTCTCCCTCATTTGTCAGATGGGCTCCGACTTTAAAATCTACGAACTGTCCACACCCCACCCAACCCAACCCAACCCCACCCCACCCCACCCCACCCCTCATTTTCACAGACATGCTCCCTCAATGATGTTCCCAACCCCACAAGGGAAATTTTATGAAAACATAACAGGGTCACTATCGTGTTGAAATCCTCGCCGACTGGCTAGGTCGATGGTGTTTCTTCTCATCTTGCGACCACCAATATCAAACCTGCACCTACCCTCCTCTCCCCTCCTCTTATATTTGTGTCGAATCGCAAAAGGTTGCCAAGAATGTCTTATTGCTCGGATATCTTCTTTCTTTTTCTTCTTTGTATTGTTGTTGATCTTTATTTTTTTTTCTCCCCCCCCCCCCCTCTTCCCCATTTCCGCACACATTTTCCATCTTCTTTTTTTTCCCCTTTTCTACTCTTTCATGTCCTTGTCTTCTTCGTCTGCTTTTAACGCTTCAGTCTTCCGTTTACTAATGTTCTTAACATAGCATTCATGATTTAACTTAACAGATGCAAAAATCAAATCGCGGTAAACAGACACCAACAATCACTAAAAGTTTAAATGCTGTGTAAATTACTTAACGATTATAACTAAATTGACAGTAGATTGTAATACACAAGAATAGGTAGAATATACATAAAAAATATTGTTAGAAGACAGACAACCGAACAAAAAAGGTTTTACGTCATGACTGATCCGACAGATGATGAGAAAATCCGAGAAAATATAACTACAATGTCTTTGCACTTGAACCCACAGGGGAAATAGAAATAAAGGCAGGCTAAAAATGCAAAAAAGAAACAAACTATAGAGTGACGTTCAAAAAAGTGAGCTGCATGCAATAACAAAGGATAGAACGGCTTTGAGTGATTTTGGCGGAAAGCCTATGCTTCATTAGGCGATAAAGTGCAGAAGGAGAGTAGAAGAAGAACCGAAGAGAGTGATACAGATAAAGACAGAAAAACAGATAATCAGACTGACAGATTTATAGACAGACAGACAATTCTAACACGTACAACCTCACCTTCGATAACTCAATCTCAAGATCCACCACATCTCGGGCATCTTGCTCAGCGATCGTCCTGTTGGCATTTAGGGCAATTGCCGTCTCTGCCAAGTATTTCTCGTAGGCTATGATGACCGAATCATTTCTGGGTTTGCTAAAATCTTCAGTAGACAACCCGAGGATTCCCTCTTTTATCTGAAGAATAAGTCTCAAATACATGAGCATAGTCTGTGTAATTGTAAAGTTTGTCAGCGTTGTTCAGGAGATAAGGCTTCAGGTACATCAACTTAGTTTGCTGTTTGTTTGTTTGTTTGTTTTAGTATCCAGAAGCCATGAGTTGTTAACACTTAGGCTCGGTATTATGGATATCGCAACCATTCGGCCTTGATTCCATTGTAAATACCGTAAATCTGGGAGAAATGTGGCTTTTCTGCCTACCCCCGGGAGTTAACCGGAACCACAAGGAGTTCGTCACCCGGTCACCTCGTAATCCGGTTAAGCCAACTACGCTAGAGAGCCGGGCTACTAAGTTTGCTAAAGGGAAGTCAAAGTTAGGGACCCTTTTCTTTCAGGCGTACTGGACGAGACCTATATTTTATTGAGCAAACTGCACTCTGTAAGTGATGTAGTCAATATCACGCTGACAGCGTTTACTTCCCATGACCTAACCTGGGAGCCAGATTTATCTTTGAAAACGTCTGGCTCTGTTAGGACCCGAGCCGACATCCTTCCGATTGGAAAATATCCATAAAACATAACAAAACATAACCCCTGACCCATTATGGAAACACCAGCACATAAAACCATCATTTTTCTCTGTCTTCCGCTTGATGAATAAATGTATGATAACTTAGTCCTCTCCATTTCTTGATGTTGTCATTCTAGATTCTTCTTTGCCCTCCTCTTCTTCGACTACCCCCAGTGTACCTTGCGTGAAAAAGGATCTTTACTTTGATTTCACTTATTACAACCAATACAAAAAGAAAAGCAACGACAATTCAACAATCTTAAATATACGCTAAATCAGATGGGACAGCTAATTAAAGAGATCCGGGTTCGAATTCTCGGTAAGGCTGGTTTCTGTCTGCGGCAAAATAAAATTATTCCCTGCACAGTCGTGGCGACAGCACTAGCCATGGGGCCGTAAATCTTCAGGCTCAAAGACCCACCTGCCTACACCGCTAAAGTGGTATACCAAAGGCAGAGCAGGTTTTTTTTTTTTTTTTACAGCCAAATAAGAAGACTGTACTTCATTGGATTCCAGACAATATGGAAAACGAAAGAGCTGACTACATAGCAAAAATTGGAAGTCACATAGCACAGCCAGATACAGAATGCAGTTAAGGAAAATAAAACTCGGATCAATGCAGCCATTAGAACCTACGAGAACACTTCTCATGCAGGTTTCAACCGGGAAGACCCAGTCAGTCTCGTCCCTTTGAAAAAAAAAAACAGACAATTGTATTTAGCTGGACACAACAGACTTTACAGCCACATTCACAAGAAAGACTGGGGACTTAGAACTGTACCCATGTGGACTAGAATCATATAATACTGAACATGTTCTACAGATATGCTTTCTACATATAGTAGAGAGATCACAGGTTTGGTCGGTTGGCATTCCTATGGAAACCAAGCTGTGGAATTCAGTGAAGAAGATTCATCACACCAAAAACCTAGTATAGGCGTGTAGTCTTGTCGTCTAAACATCAGGCAGGTCCCGGGGTGGGGGACGGGGGGTCGAGACGAGGATCATAACTATCATCATGATGTGCTGGCTGTCCAGTCAAAAATTGTTACACGTAGTGATCGGGAGTCGCCATGGCAGAGCGGCTAGACGCGCGCCGTGGATCGGAAGGTCGTGGGTTCGCTCCTTGGCGGAGCCAGACTTTTCTTAAAAAAATGACCTTGGCTCCCAGGTCGACCCAGCCTTGAGTGGGTACCGGATGCAGTCCCGGGAAGTAGAGGCGGCCGGCGTGATGCTGACCACATCACCCATCTTGTGCCGTTGGTCTATAAAAATAGAGGTCTAGTCCTATGTGCCATATACGCCTAAAGGCGTGGAAAGGGTCCTTTACTTTACTTACACGTAATGATCTCGAATGTCTATTTATTTATTTAAGTTCTTTGTTTAACAAGTGCTTTAATATGATAATAACGGTTTCCTACATAAATGATTGATCCTAATACTACACTCTAATTCGCACTTCCTACGGGGCGTTACCGTTGTGGTGTTAAAGAGTCCTCTGTTAATTAAAGTGTGTAATTGTTACCTTGTTTTCATGAGCGTAAATTGTGTTTTAGGAATGCTCATTTGCACAGGTTTGAATAGCTCTACCTAACTAAAATGGTTAAATCTTGTCTGCACGACTTAAGTACTTTACATTTTTAAGCTTTTATGTAGATTTTACAGCAGACTGCGAATA